CCTTCCACCTGCTCAATGTCCTCACCTTCCTCCTGCTCAATGTCCTCACCTTCCACCTGCTCAATGTCCTCACCTTCCACCTGCTCAATGTCCTCACCTTCCACCTGCTCAATGTCCTCACCTTCCACCTGCTCAATGTCCTCACCTTCCTCCTGCTCAATGTCCTCACCTTCCTCCTTAGAGGACACTGCAGCTCCCCCAACTTTTTAGCCCCCTCCACTTCTGTTCTCTTCCTTGTGCAGTTGTGTGAAGCACAGCATTCTTAGACTGTCCTCCTACCCAAACTGATCCAAATCTCAGAACCTCTTTGTCAGGAGGCGTGGCTCCACCATGGCCCTGGGAGGAAAAATGGGTTACATTGCATCTCAGCCTCACTTAGGGTGTTGTGTAACAGAGTCATCAGTCATAGTCACAAACAGTAGTCCTCATCTCCCAGCAACCAAATAACCAGAGAACCAGTTTGAAGAAGGGCCACTGGATGTGAAACATTAACTCTGCTTTCTCTGCACAAACAGTGCCAGACTTGCTGAATTTCTCCAGCAATTTCTGATTTTGTTTCTAACCATCCTTGTAAGGCACATGGTCTTTGAAGCAAAGCAGGAAAGTGGGGGTTCTCAAGGATATAGATATTCTTGCAGGTCTTAGGTAGTCAAATTTAAGAATGCCCTGACAATTGGCCCTGGACCAGCCAGACTGTCCATGGTTCACTCCCTGACCTGAAGTCATACACAGCCACTGACCCTGACCTCCTCATTGTGACAACTGACTGTGCCCAAGCCCCTGGACTGTGAGCATAGGCCACTATCGACTGTCTGTACTGGGGCCTTCCTGACCAATGGCAGTGCCTCCCAGACCTGACAAAAGGCCACTCCCCTTACACTTTCAGATATGGCCATTTGGAGAGACATGTACAGTGTGTTTGGATCATTTGCTGCCACAAACTGTAGCTGAAAGATTGACGTAGTTCACTGCTATAGTAACATGCTCATCCCCTTGGCTGGCTTTGTGCCTGTGCTGAACAAAATGGTAAAACTGTATTCCGAGTGTCTGGACGTGGCTGAGGAATCAACCAGCCAAATGGCAGTCAGGGAAGCGGTGAGCATTAAAGTTGGCACAAAATGAGTTAGTGCTAAGACAGCGAGCAAGCAGCTTAGAATTAGAATAGAATTATAATAGAATAGATTTTATTGTCACATGTACTCAAGTACAGTGATACAGGGACACAGTGAAAAGTGTACACTGTCACCACTCCTGGCACCTTCTCAGGTACAAAGGTACCCATGTACAAAATCTTAGGTACAAAGTAGAAAAAACAAAGAAATAAAGTTAAAAGTTCAACGGCCTGTCTTAATTTTTAGCTATGCTTAGCTCACACTGTCGTTCTCCTCCAGTTTGGCCCATGTCCAGGAGACCTCAGGCTGCCTGCTCTCACCGCTGCCACAGATACCAGTGGACCTCCCTCACTCTCCGACTGGTAATGTCCCACACTGGGACCCCAGACACTGCCACGCACCAGACCCAATGCTGTCACCACTGCTACCTCAGCAACTGGGCTCTCTCCAGAGAGTAAGTAAGTAGGAAAAACAAATAAACTAAATTAAAAAAACTGAAAAAAAAGGAAAAATGAGAAAAGAAGGAGTGTGGACAGGCCTTCTCTGCCACTGTAGCCTGGGTCAGTCCATGAGCTGGGTACCTGCCCCTGCACAGTGTTCTAGCAGCAACACTGCAATGAAAGTTGGTCAATGAGACTCTAAACGTAACACTGAATTGTAGAATCTCACTGAGAGTAGATGGGAGATGTGCCTTGGTGATGATACTGTGTAGCTGCTCTCTGTTGGGTGCCACTGTTTGTGGACATGGAGTATGAGCAGTTGCTGCTTTGCAGCATGCCCTGAGATTTTGGCGATGGCAGTCACCAGGTACAGGTAGGAATTTCATGTCAGGAATTCTCAACATCCAGTTTCTATCTGCAGGTGATGGAATGTGCGACTGTGCATGGATGAGACGAGAGTACTAGTAATGAGGTTATTATTGTGCAATAATCCATTCTAAAAGGCTTCTTGCTGCTCACTAGTGAGAATCTCACCTTAATGTCCAGTAATTTATTGGTCTCAATGTCAAGAAGGTCCTCACTTGACATCTACCTGATTTTTCCAAATGTTTTGCCATGGCCCACATTCAGGGGCTGGGAGCATTCAAGTCAAGGAGACCATCACTATACACATTGTTCCAGAAGTGGTCACACCAGTATCCTGTATACTTCTTGTATTCAAATCTGCCTTGTCACAAATGTTAACATTCCTTTAGTTCTCCTGGTTACTTGTTGTACTTGCACAATAACCTTTTGAAATTCATGCACGAGGACACCCAAATTTCTTGGCATCTTATTTGTTCATAGGATGAAGGCATTGCTGGCTGGACCAGCATTTATTGCCCATCCCTAATTTATCTGGGGGCAGTTAAGAGTCAACCACATTGCTGTGGTCTGGAGTCACATGTAAGTCAAACTAGGTAAGGATGGCAGTTTCCTTCCCTAAAGGATATTAGTGAACCAGATGGGTGGTTATGACAATCAACAGTGACCATTAGACTAGCTTTTAATTCCTGAATGTTTTTATTGAACTCAAATTTTACCATCAGCCCCGGTTGGATATGAACACACACACCAGGCACATTAGCCTGAGGTTCAGGCTTTCTCACCCAGTGACAGTACCACTGCAGAACTGGTGCCTGTGCTTCCTCCCCAAGTTTTCTTCATTTTTGCCACTGCTGTCAGACAAACGTATTTGTTACAGAGCGGGAGGTAACATCAAGACCAAGCCAACTTTCCCAGATCTGAATAATCCCTATTGTTTCCGCTGCCATACAATTAGTGAGCAGGCTGTTTGGATAATCCAGTCCCTGCCTACCTCAGTCCATTATATCAGTAAATATCTGAATCACTCTGCACCATATCCCCAACCCAGACTAACAGGCCCCAGTCCCCCAATATCGAGCTGATGCACAATGTGGACATGGATTCAATCTCAACAAAACTATGAATGAACTCCGTTGCTAAACAGCAAATTCTATAAGATCCATCATTACCATAATTATAAAAAAGCAGATCGGTTCATTTGAAATGTGCATTGAAAAATGAATTTTATGGCATTGGGATAAATAGATTTTTTACCCTCACAGATTGTGAGATTTGTACATTCTCGGTCCTCCACCAAGGTTCCAGTGCAGAGATCTGGAGGGACACGCTGACCCGATCCCACTGCTACACAAACTCGGTAACGTTCTTCCGTCAGTAAATACCGAGCAGTCTCAGGGAATGCACTGAGGTGTTGGCTCTCAACTCGCTGTCCTTGGAGTAGATGGAGGGATGCCATATTCAGGAATGATCGGGGCAGACAGGAAATGCAGCCTGTCCAGGCTGACCACTGAGTGAGTGTAACAGCCTCTAAACAACAACACAACAAACATAGAGCAACATTAGACACATTTACACAGTCTCACTCACTGACCATTCCCTCAGTGACAGCACAGTCTCACTCACTGACCACTCCCTCAGTGA